CATTAGCTGAGTAAACACGAGGGCTGAGGAATGGACCAGGGATCTAGTCTCTGACTTACTGGCAGAATTATAGGTCTACAGTTTGTGATCATTTAAAGTGAGATTCATCACTGTTTTTCTCCAGTTACCCTCAGCCTCATCTGTCAGGTGAGGTGAACTGAATTTAATCTGGGCTGTGGTTTTGCCAAGCGAGTATGAAGGTGGTATACTGGGTAGCCCCAGGGCTTGGCAAGAAAATGATGGAGTAGGCAAAGGAACAGCAATTATTGGCTATGGATTTCAAGTTGGGTAAGGAAATGAGACTATCTAAGAGGATGAGGGACAATGGAAAGTTGGCATCGATGGACTAGATGTTACAGTGGGATCAAAAGGGTTGGAAAAAGAGAAGACGGCTGAGGTAAGGACAAGAAAATTTCAAGAGATTAAGAGGAAGGACTGTCTCCAAAACAAAACACCCTTCCACATCAACTGGTATTTAAGAATGGTTTACCACTGTGATATACCCATTCCCCGTTTGGTAAAGGTGGAAAATACTGCCAGCTAGATTTCTTATCCATTCCGCTATCTTAAGAGAGATCCAACACTAAAACTGAAATTTGTTCAAAGAAATTGTTTTGTGACTAATTTGATTTTTGATGATGCCCAGGTACTGTTTATATTTCATTATTTATTTTGGTAAAGCAAGTGAATTATGTTCCTAATTTGATTCTAAATCCAAAGTTATATGGACTACTCAAGAAATCAGTCTCGGATGAATGACTGGACCAACCAATAAGAATGTTGGTCTGTACACACCAAGCCATGTAAAGTCCGTCAAACAATAAAATGGGGCGGGGGGTGGAGGGGAGACTGTTCTTGTTGCAGCAAAAGAATGTACCAGAATTGGATGCCAAGAGGGAAGAAACACACACACACACACTCACACACACCCATAAATTAAGAAGTCTGCTAACATCTAACCTGTACTTTGACCTACAAGCATTACAGATAGCCAGGTGAGTTAATGTTCAGCAAGTCTTCCACCTAATAGGAAACCTGGGGCGGGGGGGTAAGATATCCACTTAGGCCAACATAAGGGCCCATAACTTTTTCCAAGTCTAAGGGTATGTCTTACAATCAGGTAATTTCTATATTTTAAGAGGCTACCAATGGTCTTAAAAGCCTAATTCAAGAATAAGGTGCTCTTAATACAACAAACATAAGAACAGGCCAGAATGGCAATGCACCCAGATGGAATGGAAGATTTACTTATTGCAAATCAAGTAAAATGAGCTCTTTCACCAAATATAAGGTTCAAAAAATCACAAATAAGCTTTGTATGGTATTGCCAATGAGGATAATTTGCCAAAGAAATTTTTTTTAAAAAGTTAAGGGTTTAAAAGTTACATTATCTGTCCCCAAATTGGCCTGTCTGCTGTCCACCAGACATGGTTAAGTGCTACAAGGCAGAGAAATAATAGGTGAGAAATGTCATTCTCATCCACCTAGAGGCAGAGTGGGTCCCCGTAGGTTCAATCCTGACAGAGAAGTCCTGGGTATTGTTGCAACTGGACTGGGAAGCACCGCTGGTCCTTCAGCAGGTTCTGTAGGTCGAATCCTACAGACTGAATCCCTGGAGAGGACCTGCCAATCACAGCAAGTCTGACTAACACCCCCTAAAGTAAAACAAGTACATTACTCAAAGCATTCTAGGCACATACTTACAACAGGGGTTGATTTCTCCCCACTTCCCCACAACCCTAGAGGCTGTGATTTAATTGGTCTAAAGCAGTGGTTCCCCCTGGATAAGAGGGTTTGTTAAGAGTAGGCAGAAGGCATCTATGTCCTGCTCATTCCATCAAAAAAAGTGATAAAATTCCTTATTATAATCAGAAAAGGAGATATATTTAACAACATTATTTTCACTCCTTTAGTTTCACTGCTATTAGTTTCAACTTGGTGCTCAATGAGTGGCCATCTAGAACACAAAGTTAGATATCTATCTCATACTTTATATCAAATAATTTCCAAATACATTAAAATTTTAAACTTAAAAAATGAAACCATGAACCATTTTTACTATCCAAAAAATGAAACCATTTTTACTATCCAAAAAAAGTAAGAATTTTTCTTATGTTCTTCAAGTGCAGAAATCCCAAGTATGATGCAAAATCCCAAAGTCCTAAGAAGACTGGAAATTCAACTATTGTACATTTAATTTTCCTGTGGGCAAAACCATCATGAAATAAAAATGACACTGGAAAACATATGAGCATCTCATACCACAAAGAGCTAATTTCCTCCATCTATACGCTGCTTCTACAAATTGATAAGACCAATGTTGAATTTTAAAAAAAAGACTAAGGATGTGAAAAGATAACAAGGAAATACAAATGGCTCTTAAAAACAAAGATGACCTTCGCTCATAAAAATAGATGCTAAACATTAACTATATTAAGATATTTAACCTATCCAGTTGGAAAAAAAGATCAATGCACCCATTGATGAGGGTTTAACAAAACATTTTTATACCTTGTTGGTGGGACTATAAACTGGAAAAACTTCTGAAAACAATTTGATAACATGTAGCAAAATGTAAAATGTCATTCCACCTCTAGGTATATAGCTTATAGGTATACCTGCACTCATGCAAAGTAACCATATTTAATCTAATCCAAAATGCCACTGATTTTAAGATGCATCATTATTTTATATACCACTAAAACCAAAAAAAAACCAATGCCAATTAAACTACAAATATCAATACATTTAAATTTGATATTAAAAAATGTGGGCAAAATGTAGGGATTAAATATCCTATAACCTATCAATTTCATTCCATCTTTTTTTTTTAATTGAGGTGTATATTCAAAATCTACGTCCCTATCTTTGCTGGGCCTTCTGCTTTTACAGATGTGCCATGCTGAAATTATACAGGAAACTTTTGGCACCCAACCTACCAGGCCGCTTCTCTGGCTTTCTGGGAAAACACTTTAAAGTTCACTACTGAAGTCTGCTCTTCAAACCATTTCAAGTCTGCAAATAAATCGGAATGTCTTAGTCCAGCTCAAGCCAGTGGGTAAAAAGTATCTTTGTTCCCTTTGCAATAGCATGGATGAAATAGATCAGATTGGAAATTTTATACCAAAGAAGCTCCAAACGCTCAAATCTGGTTTCGATATTCCTTACATTGTGAAATTGAGAGGTCCCATCTTGTTGCATAACTGAGTACGAACAATTCAGCATGTTGGACAGAGGTATTGAAGGTAAACGGCAGGCTTAGCTCTTAAAGGAAAAACCATGACACACAGCACCCTTTCCCTCTGTTGGCCTTGACAAGTTAGACAAAACAGGAGCAGTAATTTTTTTTTTTTTTTTTACGCCTACAGCACCTGGTCTTCCTAGATGGTCTCCCATCCAAGTACTAACTAGGCCCGACCCTGCTTAGCTTCCAAGATCAGACCTTCCAAGATCAGACAGCCTTGACAGACTGCTAGCACCATCCCTGCCAATAAAGTAATACAAAAGTACCTACCCCTGTTAGATTTGTATTTGGTGAGAAGTTGAAAAGTTCAGAGAATTAAAGCCATTGTCTCAAGCTTAAGACAGAAAAGAGCTGTTAGCATGACAAAACTTTTTACTTTTATCAAAATCATCCATGAATGTGGTGTAACAAAGCAAACAGTACAAGGCTTTCAAGTCTCTTGCCCCACCCTCCCCAAAGGCAACAGCTTTTAGCTTTTTAGCTGTTCCTTATCTTTATGTGTCTGAATAAGATGCTCATAATCCTCATTTACCACTTTTTAAAATTCTGTTCATTTTTATTATGGAATTTGAGTTTTGCTCCTAAACACACCTCATTACTCACCCATCCACTTCTCCCTTCTCCAGATTTAGATGACAATTTTTATTAAATATTTGGTGTGGCCATGATTATGACTTAAGTTGAACCTCATAATTATATGTTTTTACCTTTTATTTTCTATGTACCTATCAGTAATTTAGCTCTGAACTGTTCAAATGAACCAAAAATTTCCTCAAAATATTCAAATATAGTAATTTCTTGTCCTGGACGTCCCCTTCTGGAACTTAAATTCTCCTGCTCCAACCAAGACTACTCTTTCTCCAAGCCCTCAGAAAAGTAGCTGAGACTTCCATTCCTGACACCATTCTGGGAGTTCCATTGGCCTCAGCATAAGACCCATAAGACCATGTGGAAAACTCTAGGACTGGGCACGCTTTACTCACGTAGTTTCCAACGGAACTTAATACCACAGTGCAAACTGTCTGCTTCTCACTATTCCATCCCTCTAAGACCCAGTTTAGTGCTGATGTAGCTCTAGGGTAAGGAGCCTCATTTAATCTAGCATTCACCCAAGTCAACCTCAAGTTTGAGGATGGCTGATTTTTAAGTCAACATTCAGAGGTCTAAGACTAAGTGAAACCCCAAAATCATCCTGAAAACTGCCATCCTAAGACCTCTGACCAATCCAGAACCAGGATGGGCCAGATGCCATCACTACAGAAGTGTGACCATCCCATCCTCACCTTCCAGTGATAAACCCATTAGTTGAACACCCCAAGGACTAAACAGGCTGCTGTGGAGGACAAGGTGACAAGAGGCACTACGCCCATTCATCTTCATACTCCCATTGTACTTACACAGAGCAGGCAACCAGTGAGCAGTACTAAGTGCAAAGTCAGCTCTAAGGTGAATGCTAATCACATTTAACTCAACAGAACAAATGGTGGAAGGCTACGGAAAATCAGGGTATTAAAGCGTTATTCTAGAAAAACTAACTCCTGAGCCAAGTGATGACCTCAAGAGATACATTTGATTGGAAGCTTAAACAAAAATAATTTCAAAAAACTTACTTTAATGTTGAAATATCAACAAAGTAAATTCAATCATTTCAAATAAAGTTTCAGAGTTCACTATTTTTGTTGTTCTTAATAGTGTTTTTTTCCTTTAACAAGTTAATTTT